AAACTTCGATAACTAAAATCTAATCCTTTTGAGGCATAGAGATTACTTAATTGAATTTTACCTCTCTCAACAAATATAGCATATTGTTATACTAGAGTAATTTTTTCAGTAACAGCATAATAATTTTTTTAATAAATCCACTACTTTATTAGTGAGATTAAAAACATGTATCGACAAAATTCCAAGAACATGAAAAGATCTAATTAAATACTATAATTACTGCCATATCAAATAAGGGAGAGTTTGTAACAACTATCCCTTATACACCAATAAAGTTATTTTATTTAATCTCAAACCATTAAAAACCAAGTTTTAATATGGGGAAAGACAATTTTTTTCTTTTGTTTTTTTTACAAGTCCCAAACACAAGGTCTAATCCTATTCAAGGAAGAGGATTTTCTGAAAAGTTTTGAACTTTTCAAAAACTCACTTTCAAAGTAACCTGTCTAGTGGTTTAAGTACCCGATTTAACCTTTTTACAAAAACGGTAAAAACCGTTTAAAACCCATAGTTCGTATTCAACCATCAAACCCATTCTTTTTCCATCCAGCCTTTTGAATCTTGTATTAAGTCAACTATAGCCAGTAAGGTTTAACATTCAATACCCTAGCCATAGGCTCATACAACGGTTTGTATATACAGATACCCATAATTTTTGACAAAATAATAACTATATATCAAAATATTGACCATTTCCTTCAATAGCAGTTATTATGGTTTATATGTCTTAGACACCTTATGGAGGAATATTTACATATCAAAATAGATATACAATATATCTTCACTCCAAAATAAGATGCATTTTAAGCAAAATATATATAAAAAAGATCTTCAACTTCCTACATGATAAACTCAATTATTTTTATATATTTTGGTATCTTTTATATGAGTTTTGTCAGCTTAATTGGTCCCTTTTTGCCTTAATTGATTTAATTTATTTTATTTTGAATTATTATTTTATAGGGGCAAAATTGTCATATTTTGGTTTAATTGTGAGTAATTGGTTTTTTGAGGACAATTAATGCTACCTCATTTTTGAATTTTGTTTGTAGGTTTTTAGAAGATTTAAAAATAAAAATAAAAATTAAAAAAAGATAAAAAAAATAAAAGAAAAATAAATTAAAAAAATATAATAATAAAAGGGGGAGCAAAACGCAACGTTCCCTCCCCCCAACCTAATATACTATAATCTAGGGGTGATCATGGACCAGACCAGACCGGGTTAGGTATCAACCCGAGGTCTGGTCTGGGTAGGACCTCCGGCTAAACAAGGCAGCCCAAGGTCTGGTCCAGTCCAGTGCCAGCTCGAGTTCGGGCTGGACTGGACTTGGTCCCCTGGACCACCTGGACCAATCCAGGCAGTCCAGTTCCTTTTTTTTTTTTTTTTGTTTCCTCCTAGTTTCAAGCCTTCATCTTTTTTTTTTCCTACTGATTTTTATCTACTCCATGGCTCCACTCAATCCAATACAAAATTTCACATTACACAGTACACACAACAATAAAAAACCATTATCTAAAAATATCCAATAGCATTCAACAACAATAAAAATACAAGTCCTAATGATAAAATCCAATAATCCATCATAAGTCTATAACATTACACACAACAAGACAAAGTGAACAACAAATGATTGAAATCTAATTTCCATGATGTTGAACATCAATCATCTTCTTTCATTTTTCTCCTCCTCCATCTGTTACACTAGATCATCTAGCAAAAACAAATTATATATATACATATAAGAAGAAGGAAATAGTAATAATTAATGAATATGCAATTTTGAATTGAGAAGCATATAATTCAAAATATTACCTGAAACATTAACAACATTATCAGTCTCTTGAAAGTTGTCAAATTCAGTCAACAAAGAGATAAATTCTTAGATAGATTGCCCAGCAAGTAGCCAATTTTGAGCACTAATGAGTGCTTCAGTCATCCTATGAGATAGAGAACTCCTATAATCATCAACAACACGTCCTCCAGTGCTAAAAGCTGATTCAGATGCCACTGTAGATACTGGTATAGCCATTACATCACGTGCAATCATGGAAAGCACTCTATACTTGGTAGAATTAACCTTCCACCATGTCAATATATAAAAATCATCATCATCAGTAGGAATGTCTTCTGATAAATTAGCTGAAAGGTATCTATCCAACTCTGATTGAGTATCTACTGATAAGCTCTTTTCTTTTTGGGATGCCAACCATCTACGACCAGGATGTTTTTTACCATCATTTGCACTAGAAGTATTGGCACCACCAGAAGAAGTACAAGTGCTAGAACCACCAGATCTACTTGTTTCAGGACCAATCACTGCAGAGTACTCCTCAAATAGGCGATACAAAGTGTTTTTTGCCTTGTTTTTCATGGACATACAAAGTTCAGGATCAATAAAGAGCTGCTAAAAAACATGGTTGATGTAGGCAAGCTTATATCGAGGATCTAAAATCACAGCAATAATCAACAAAGGATTCAAATTATCTGCCGCTCCCCAGTACTTATCATATTTCATCTTCATACTTAAGGACATCTCCCTAAGAAGAAAGTCATCAGACTGAGTAGTCTCATCCAACAGCTCATGAATTAGTGCAATTTGATGGAAACATATGTTTGCAGTAACTGTTACTGAGCTAGAAAATAACAAGGTCACATCAAAAAACACTTTTAAGAATGTAAGAAAGACCTGTGCCTTATGCCAAGCTTGCTTGTTAGGAGGGCCATCATGTCTTGAACCTTTATTAAAGTATGTGACATAATCTTCATCTTCATCCTCCAATCTTTCAAATGCCTTTTGGAATTTCAAAGCAACATCCAACATTATATATGTGGAATTCCATCTAGTGTTAACATCTAAGCAGCACATATTTTTTGAATCCAACATTTCCAATTCACAAACATCTTTAAATTTTTGAAGACGTGCAGGGGAAGAACGAACATATCTAATAGCATTCCGAATTGATTCAAAGGCATCTTTCAATTCCTTCAAGCCATCATTAACAACCAAATTGAGAATATGTGCATAACATCGTATTTGAAGATAGTCACCACCACAAACAAGACCCTTCCAGTTCTTTAATCTTCTTTTCAAATATGTCAAGGCCGAGTCATTGGATGTTGCATTATCCACAGTAATGGTGAAAACATTTTGTATGCCCCAATCTGACAAGCACCTCTCAATTGTCTTTCCAATTGTCTCACCCTTATGATTCTCAATCATACAAAAATTAAGAATCCTTTTATGTACGTTCCAATCATTATCAATGAAATGAGCTGTGAGACATAGGTAATTGAAGTTTTGAACCGATGTCCAACAATCCGTAGTGAGAGAAATACGATTAGTACATTGCCTCAATAGATTCTTCAAGATCCTAACTTCACCAAGATATAATTGCCAACAATCTCCAGCAACCGTTGTTCTTGAAGGGATCTGAAATTGCGGCTCTAGCTCTTTGAGAAAATTTTTAAAGCCTTGCTTCTCAACCAACCTAAATGGCAACTCATCACATATGATGAACTCAACAAGAGCCCTACGGCATCGTTTTTGATTGAACACATGAGGCATCAAGCGTCCTGCTTGCCCACTTGGTGTAGTATAATTCAACATCGATTGTTTTGGTATTTGATCAGCCTTGTGTGGATTTCTTTTACATTTTTGCAAGTGTCTTTTCAAAGATGTTGTCCCATGCTTGGTTGGGTCACAAGCATAATCTATATTGCAATACTTGCATGCAGCTCTAATCTCTCCATTTGTCTCCTCCAACGGTAACTTAGTAAAGTGATCCCACACTTGTGATTGTTTCTTCTCAGGTTGTTTTCTCTTCTTACTCCCTTCTATAGCTACATTTCCAGTTGTAGCTATTTGGGCAGGGGGAGGACATTCTATGGTAGTTGGAGGTTGGTGAGTATGAGAACTAGGACCACTAGGGGTGGAAGATGGTGCACTAGGAGTTGGAGTCACATTCTCGCCAATAATGGGAGAAGATTGAGATTGGTCAATACTTGAAGATTGTTCAATATCCATACCTGCACAAAGATAAAAACACAAATAAATAGATAAACAAACAAACAAGGAGATAAATTTGGCTTTGAACAAAATATAATGTGACCTACAAGGCTACAAGATAAAACCCTGACAAAGAAATATCCCGCTAGCTTTGAAATTAATAATGAATTGTAGAGCTACAACGAAGCCATTCAATTTCAGTCAGATAATGAAAACACCAATAAATCATATTTTCATCCAGAAAGGAATCGCTATACGGCGATCATTGAATTTGCATTGTCTCCAGTCAAATCCATTCCAAAATAAAACAAAATCTGGAGTCATAATTGTTCATCTCTAGTAGGAAAGGCATAAGTTGCATTGTCGCAACAGCTAAAAAGGCATCGAACAGAGAATGGAGAATGGAGCAAGAACATACGCAGCACCTCATATCAGATTTATTAAAATAAACGAACATAGAATGGAGCAAGAATAGAGAGACAGAGTAAATAAACAAACAGAGAGAACAGGAACTCCTCCAGTCCTTCATTGGGGTGATTTAAATAAACGAACAGAGAATGATACACGCCAAATCGAATATCTGGGAAAAATCAGGTAAAGGAGAAAAGTAGAACAAAAATAACTACCTCAAACACAACAAGAACACGCCGAATCGCCGATGAAGGAGGACTGGAGCGGTGGAACCAGAGCACAGCAATGAAGAAGGAGTGGAGTGAGAACAGACCGATGAATAGATGAAGGAGGAGGAATGGAGCAATAACACGCCGAATCTCCGATGAAGGAGGATCAGCCGATCAGGAACGGGCTGAGGAGATCAACAGTTTGACCTTTGACAGAGGAGACGTCGTCACTGCTACTTACTGGCTACTGCTAGGGCTTCTTCGACGAAGATGGGGAGAGAACGGAGAAGACCAAGAGCGACAAGCTGACTAAGGCGCTGAGCTGCTGAGTGACTGTGTGAGTAAAAGTAAAACGACAGTGTTCTGATCAAACCAGTTCCCAGAAGCAAATTAAAAAATATATATAATATATATTACCCGGGCCAGACCAGACCAGACCAGACTAAGTGTTCTGATCACTTGGTCCTGAGCTTGGTCCAGCCTGACCAATCAGTTTGGTCTGGTCTGGTCTGATTTTTTTTAGACTGATTTTACCTGGACCGGGTTGGACCAGGCCATATCGGGTTAGACCGGGTTACCTGGACCATCGGGTTTTTTACACAGCCCTACTATAATCCATCATCTTCATTTGAGGGACCGGAGACACAGAGACGCAAGCGAGCTGAACACGAAAACACACACACACACGCTAGCTGGGGGCAGCGGAAAAACAAAGCAACAGGGAGGGAGAACATGAGAATCATCATCATCGGCCACTTCTCCTTTGTCTTCTCGGCTGATCTTGAACACGGAACCAGAGCGCACACGAAGGAGGGAAGCTGAACGAGCTGTGGGCGGCGGAAAAAAGAAAAAAAAACAGAGAGAGAGGTCCTTCCATCGGTCCAGTCCATCATCACCGGTGCCTTCACCTTCTTCTTCTCCTGGGCACAACAAAACCAAAGGGAGGCAGAGACCCACAAGCAGAAAGAAGGACCAGTGAGCTGACGGCACAAACAAGAAAAACAGAGATTCAGCGTTCTTGATGGCAAACCGAGGCTAGAGTCTATAATTCTCTAATTCAACAACAATGGCAGGAGCTCAGATCATCAAAAGGGAGTTTTAGTTGCTTTAATTTCTTATCAATAATTGTTTAACAATTCCTAGGTCTTAGGATAGTTTTTCTGATTGTTGGGATAATTGTATTGCTTAATCTGATTATATTTGGAGATTATTGTGACTGAATTATTGCTTAGCATTTGACATTGGGCTGTTTATAACTTTAATTTCAATTATAATGTTGTGGTTATGACATTTGTATTGATTTTGGAGTTAATATATTGTGATTTTCTAAGGTGGTTTAGAATTTTAGATCATATTGTCTTTTGATAACCTTAATTCTGTTGTTTTGGATTTAAGAGTTCTAATTAAGTATTGGTTTTTAGCATCCTTAATCCCATTTTATTATTCTAGTTGCAGTTAGTAAGTTGAGATTCTAGGAAAATATTTTGTGGCAATTCGAGATAGCTCGATTGTTGGATTAAAAGCTTAATTATAATTCTTAATTCATTGTTTTTAATTCCCACATCTTTTAGAGTGATGATTGCCTGCGTTGTTGAATTGGAGGATTGATTATTGTTATTGTTATTTGTGTGTTTCATTTCAGTTCTTTCATCTTCAATTTATTTCAATCATTTTTATATAAAAAAAACCAAAAAAAGTATTTTAATTCCAATTTAGTTCTAGGTGTTTACTTAGCAATTATCAAATCAAAAATCCTTTTTTATAGTTTAGGTTACTTGCATTTATTTACTAGGATTTAATTTCATTTTCAGCTCCTCAAAGTGAATACGATCCAGATTATGCACTATATTGCATTAATTCAGTTAATTTTTGGAGTAACCCCGAAGCGACAAATTAAGAGCAAGTTAAGTTCAAGTGGTGCCGTTGCCGGGGAGCCAAGAAATTGGTTCCCTAGTAATTAAGTGTCAAGTAGCCTTGATTGGGGTTCATAGTTTTTCATTTTTGTTAGTTTTTGCATGTAGTTAGTTTTAGCATCTTTAGGTAGTTTGCATTGGTTTATAGTTTTTCATTGCATTTCTTCCATATGCATAGAAAATTTTTCAAAAATACAACCAAATATCTTGATTTTTCTTTGTTTTGCATATAGATATAGACACTTGCATGTCTTTGCATCTTAATGTTGGATCTACATCCAAAATTTGGCAAAAATCTGGGTTTTCAAAAAAATCATTTTACTGGAACTAAAAAATGTTTTTTCACCTAGAAAATTCTGAAAATTGATATTCTAAAGATTTTGGGCATTTTAAGCAAGACTAATAGCTATGCTATTAGCCCAGCAAATTTTGGCCAAATTCAAACGTTTTCCCTACTTTTTCTAATTTTCTTTCTTTTCTGGGATTTTTCCAAATTTTTTTGTTTGTGTGTTTTTGTATTATTTTTTCTGATTTTTCTAGCTTTTTAGGATTTTTTTTGAGTTTCTTTAGTTTGGCTTTGGTTAGGAATTGATTGTGTGACTCATGGCTTGGTTTAATAGCAATCATGATCTACCCTCGCATTCTCACTTTTTTGCAGGAAATAGTACATGAAATGAAGCACCTTCTAATTCAACATGGTCTCAAGAGATTGAAGAGTTATTACAACAGTTAGACTCCTTCCAAACTCAACTAGAGTCTCAAATGCCTAATCGCCTCTCTACCCATGACTCTTCTTGGATGAACCATCCTCCACATCAATCACCTAACCTACACTCCAACCTCACCAACCATACTTGAATCATATATCTCTACCATATGCACACCACCAAGAACCACCTCCTTTTCCATATGAACACTACTACCCACCCTCATCTCAATCCAAGTACCATTCTCTCCCCCAATCTCATGAACATCAATTCAATGAACCTGACCCATTTCTTATTATTCCTAAGAAGGACCAGATACGATTTTTAAGAGAAGCTTATGACCGCTTAAATTTATACTATCATGGATTACTTGAAGAAGCACGGATATCTGGAATTTCAAAGGAATCAGAGGAAGAGTTAGGAGAATGTAAGAGTGCATTGGAGAAGATCTTGAGTGATATAGCTCAAATTGAATACGAGAATGGGAAGCATGAACCAAAGTGCCCAGATCACTACAAAAAAATATGTTAATTCTAGCAGTTAGAGTGTTACATTTCTAGCGGTTCTAACCGCAACAAATCAAATTTGTAGCGGTTAAGGAAACCGCTAGAAAAACAGGTGCAAGAAAAAATTTCTAGTGGTTATTGCAATCGCTACAAATCATGGTCAAAATGAAAGAAAATTTCTAGCGGTTTCTAACCGCTAGAAAATATCTGAAGGAGAAACATTCCTAGCGGTTATAAAACCGCTAGAAAATGTTCCCGGACAAAAATTTCTAGCGGTTTTATAACCGCTAGAAACCGGCTAAACGAAATCCATTTTGCCGGGAATTAAATAATTTCAGTAGCGCGCGGAAATTACTAGCGGTTATAGAACCGCTAGAAATGTTTGGGAAATTAAATTTTCCCGGCAATTGAATTTTAGGAATGGCGGGAAAAAATTTCTAGCGATTTGAACCGCTAGAAAATTTGGCTCAAAATTTGAATTTGACGAAATATTTCTAGCGGTTCGGAACCGCTAGAAATTTTTACCGTGCCAGAAAAAAAAATTTATGGTTTTTCATATTATAATTTTAAAAATCATTAAATAAATTATGTTGAAGAATTTTTGTTAATTTGTATAATTAGTTATATGTTACATTTTATATATTTAAATTTTGTAATAAAAAATATGTAATTAAATTATGAATGTGTCAAAAGAACTGAATTTAATTTAATAAGATAATTTAATTGAATATTTAATAAGATAGTTGAATTGAAGATGATATATTTTGTAATATTGAACCTATAGTATTAGGTTGATGAGTATTTGAATCAGTTGAGGAGGACATGACAAGTGTGGAGAAGAAAAATCTGAAAGGAAAGGAGAAATAAATGTTAGTAAATTTTAAATAAAAACAAATAAAAGATACAATGAATTATAAAATAAAATTCACTTACCATACAGTAAAGAGAAAAAAACCACCATATGAGATAGTAAGAAAAAAAGAGAGAATTATGAAGAAGAATAGGAGAGGAAAGAAAAGAGATGGAGTAAATGAATGTAGAGAAGATATGGTATTTATAGAGATCAGCGACACATTTGTAGCGGTGTTTTTGTAGCGTTTTATTGCATTTTGTAGCTGTTATTCATTTTCTAGCGTATACATAAGCGCTAGTATTTTGTAGCGGTTATATTTGTAGCGGTTATTAACCGCTAGAAATTTAGTATTTTTTATTTTTTAAAATCTGAACGAATTTTAATTTACATATATGTATTTGTAGCGGTTAATAACCGCTACAAATTACAATTTCCTAAAAAAAATTTGTAGCGGTTATGTAACCGCTACAAATTAAAATTTTTTTATTTTTAAAAAAACTGTATGAATTTTAATTTATACATATGTATTTATGGATGGAAAATTTTTTAAATAATTTATTTTGGATGCTGCTATTCTCCATCATCATCCGGCCTGAAAGGACACATTTTAAAAAAATTTGTTAAATTTATATTGTATTTGGAAAAAATTAGTAATTAGTAGTTAATTATTTAAATAATTTAAGAAAAGACGTGTACCTGATAAGTGGCAAATTATCATCTCCTTAAGGAAAGAAGTCTTTAAAATTCGAGGGTTGGAAGGGTTCATTGTCGTAAATAATGTCACCATCACCCATATCGTAAAGATCCCGTGGCTTGAGGTGAACGACCATATTCCAGTATTTATGTTTCTCGTCCTCGACATAGTAAATTTGGTGTGCCTCAGAAGCAAGGATATATGGCTCATCATCTTCAGATGCCCCCGTATGAATAAGTCTAGAGAAATTGACTGAGGTGATGCCCAAATGGTCAGTAGCGAGTCCCCGTGAAGTTGTCGTATTTGCCCAGGAGCATTTGAACAGTGTCACGGTGAAAAGCTGGTAACTCAACTCAATAATGTCAATTAGCTTTCCATAGTAAGTGACGCCTCCAAAGCGCATATCGCCATCACTACTGCTAGCATAACATCTCGTTCCGAATGTCCCGCAAACTCCAGAGTTTTGTGTGAGCAATCCCTGATCACGTCCAACCGTACAGAACTTGAAGCCGTTGACATTGTACGCGGTAAACCTTCGTGCATGGTCTAACGGACCGAGAGAAAGAGCTTTGAATTCATCTGTGTATAGGCTGTTGTCATTACGTATTCGACGTGTAAACCAACTGGAAACTCTTTGTGGACTCTTTTATCAATGTCAGCAGAACGCGCACGGCCCCGTAGCTGACGCCTGAGATAACTCCTAAACTCACT